TACATTGAGGTTGTGCACAATTGCTGTCACCACAGCTCATATAAGTTGCACCGAAGTGCCACGTAGAATTTGTCCCGAAGGATCGCTTAGAATTTGTCCATAAAGACCACGTAGAAGTATCCCAAATGATCACATAGATTATCCCGAAGGACCGCGTGGAACCCTCAACTCTTGGCATGCCAACTATACCCCTTATTCTCACATATACACTTTGGGCTTTAACTTATAATTATTTTAAATTTCACCATTTAAAGTGTATCTTATTTGCATATCTATAGCATTCTCGTAGATCATTTACACATAGGCATTTCGCATTCACATGTCATATGTTCATATTCAAAACAATTAACCATAAAACTTACTTTATCATATAATTGAATGAACACCATAAAATATTGCATTAAAGAATTGAAAATAGTTTTCGATCGAAAACTTTGAAGTTGGCTTATTGGAAGTTGTCCTCAAATCCAATATAAAACAATTTGATTGCACTCACATTTGCTTCACTAAGATCCTTTACTCTTATGTTCGAAACTTGTAATATTGAGTTGTCTAAATATTGATTTTGATCACAGTCTACACAAAACAATCAAAAATAAATATCGAATCACTTATCCTTAATCATAAAAACTGAATCGACAAGAAACACTAAATCTTTCATTTCATACTTAGTATATCGGTACTCCCTCAACTGTATCAATACTTCCCTTGGTTGGTATCGATACCTCCCTTTTGTACTGATACCATTTTTACATACTGTAATTTCGTCTTCAAAATGGTATCGATACTTCCCTTACAGTATCGGTACCCTAACAATTAGTACTGATTCTGATCCTTAATTTTCAATTGTTTAAGCCTTCAAATATCGGTACTTCTCTTGTAGTATCGATACTTGTACCCAGATTTCTAATTCTTCCACTTCGAATTTTAACCCACAAATCATCTAAACCTTTTACTTTTAACTCTGATCATCTCCTCAAACCCACTTATACTCATACTAATCACTTATCTTTATTAATATCCTTATAACATCCAAATTTCTAAATAATATCCTTGAAACTAAAATCATATCATTTTATCAAACATGTTATTATTTAGTTCTAAAACCTCAAAGCTCTTAGCTAGGAATTTGACAAGTTAATTCTACCTTTAGAATTCATTAATCAACCAAATTACAAATTTTCACCTCAAAATCCATATTATTCATTCCTTGATAAATCCTTATTAACTTAGTTTTTCTTCATTTCCAAGCTTCCTTAATCTTCTATATCTCTTATAGCTTCAATATAAACCCATAATTAAAGAAAATAAACAACTTAAAAGAAACTCACTTTACTCTCAAGAAGGCACGAACCAAGAGAAGAAGAAGGAAATGAACTAAGTGTCCAGAATTTTCCCTTCCTTATCCAATTAATATCTTAATATAAATTGATATAAAATCCATATACTGAAAAAGACTATCTTGCCTTTCTTCTCTTCCTTCTTTGCAATTAACTCCTAACACAAAATATCCAACCATTAGTCCTTGAACTTATCACTTATTCCAATTACACTACTAAATTTTAAATTCCTTACATTTCAATCATTGACCCGATGTTTGGGTTATTACACCTACATCTTTCATCCTTCACCATTTACCTTTCATCCTCTTTATTCCACAACACCCAACACTCTTCCAATACCTACAAACCATTTTAGCAACACATACAACCATTCAATTTCATTCTCATATATTTCAATTTCCTTCTTACAACAATTGCATGGGCAATTTTTGAGTTCTAAAAAAGAATTTGCGGTTTCTTATCTGAATCATGATTAGGCAACATTACATATGACTCGGGCGTCACAACCAAGATCATATCATTTACTTTTTAGTTTTATAAAAAGTTTTCTTCTTATCTTTCACTTTCATTTTTATTTTCTTTTAAACTTTCTAAATATGACTTATGTTATGCTTAGCTAATTTTTCAATAAGCCAAAGGTTGAAGCGATGACTCAATTGCAATCATGAGGATTGAAAAGCATCTAATACCTTCAGGTTACATTCTCGGTTTTCTTTAAAATTGGATTGGCAATCAACCTTTCCTCTAAAATCAAAATGCTTCATTCCAAAAGTACATGTTGGCTTGAACGTTGTTCTGATCTAAAGTTAGGAGGAAGGATTGAGTTATAGCACATTCGACTTCTAGTGAACACACTTAGCGGTAGTCCGCTAAGAGAAATAGAGATCATACTCAATTCTCATTTATGTGGCATAGTCTAAGTCAAGTTTTTCTAGATATTTAAATGGAGTTGGAATTAACGATGATAGTCGTAGTTAGTCCACAAAATTACTGAAATTCAAAGATTGATTTTGGATTGTCGGTTTATCATAGGGAAAAACAAGTTAAAGGGGTTGGGCCTTGTAAACTATAATCGGTATGAATCCGAAGTAAAAATATTATTCAATGATCTATGGGAATTGAGGCAAAGTAAAGCACGAGGCTGTTTTTACAATATCAAATTTTTATCTAAGTTTACTTTCTTCAATTTTCTTAGATTAAATATTTATTTTCCTTTTAATCTTTCAAACAAAATCCCTCATTCTTTCTACAATTTTCGCCTATCACCAAAATCAAAGTCTTCTGTATCAGCAATTTCCTTTGTCCCTGTGGATCGACCCTTACTCTCTCTACTATTATTTTATTTCTTTTATTGAGATTAAGGAATATTATTTGATAGTAAAACAATGCTTGTCACCCGATATCTTACTCGAGTTCATTACTAGGTAGCGACATGTTATTCGCTTTTACCACGCTTTCCCTCAATTCACCCTTGAATTGGAGGGACAATTATACGTTCACCATTCACTGACATTCTAGCAGTACGCAACTTCATTATTTCGTAATATGATTATTACATCATACCGCTTGTTGGTGCATCCTCTGCAGCAATCCTTCATTCTTAGGTATTTGCTACGTGTTTAACTGAAGATTCTTAGACGTATTACGCCTACTATTGTTACTTTGGTTGTAACACACTCCTATGAGTGTCTCTGGGCCTCTTTGGCCATTTACGTCCCCCACGGACAAAGTTCTACCGTTACGGACTATCCTTAGCTCTTACAAGACTTAAATAGGTCAATTTAAACCATCCAAAGTGATTAGTATCGATACTCTACTTGCAATATCGATACATTAGGATCAAGTATCAATACCCCTATGAGTATCGATACTAAAAATGGCTTTTACTGCTAAAAATAGGGCTCAATATCAGTGTTGTACACCCTGAGTATCAATACTTAAGTGGTAGTATCGATACTCTCCCAGCAGTATTGATACTCCCAGCCTAAAATCCTTAGATTTTGCCTCAATTCATCCAGTATCGATACTCGAACCTAAAAATATCTTATTTAGGCTCGAAAAACACCCAAAAAATCATTTCAAATATCTTCGTTTGGTTTCTAATCATTTGTTAAAGCTTTAAGAAGTTACTAGGGGTCTTAAAGTGTTATAAAAACACATGCTTAACATCAAATTTGTCGTCTATGGCATGAATCAAGTATGAAACCCTAAAATGCTCAACTACAAAAATCTTAGCAATTCTTCATATTTATGAAAGTCTTAACACTCCAAAGGATAAATACACTACCTTGATGTTTCAATACCAGAATGAAGCTCCTTTATCTAGCAAGCACCTTCCATCAAGACTTGGATGATAAAAACCCCACCTTTCTTGCAAAGAAAGAACTCAAACCTTTGAATCATAAAAATGATGTTGATTGAGGGATTTAAGATGAAAATGAAATTTAAAAGAGATAGGAAATGGCTCAAAGGACTTACCTTTGATTTATGAAGCTTGGAGGTAAAAAGAAGGGAAATGAGAAAGAAAAAAAGAAATAAGAAATAAAGAGAATAAGAAGATGATAAGATATAAAAACCTTCATCTTTTTAAAATTGGATAATCGCACTATAGATCATTCCTCGTCTTTCTACAATTCAAAAATCTCATTTTGATAGCTAATTGGGCCCAATTCCAACCCAATTAAGCCCAACGACTTTAATTAAGAATTTCACATGGTCCACTTACCTCTCGGGTAAACTCGAAACTACTAGCCCGAAATTTGGGGTGTTACAAGTTCCTTCTTTGAAAACAATTCCAAAGAGATTAAAATGTTTAATACACTTCCTTTAAGTTTGGTTCCCACTTCCTAAGAAATATAGACTTATGATGCACATGCCAGGTACCATTCTCTAGAACCTAGTACCTAGCAGTTGAATTAACGAATGAAAAAACAAATAGGTTCGAACCTACCATGCTAACTTTCACTTGAGAGGACTTCCTCCACATACGCTCGATGATCTTCTGAAGAGATCCTAAATTGGAAGTCAAATCAACAAATTGACCCACAAGCACATACCTCCATTCTGAAATTCCCTCCTCAAACACAGTACGAGGTGGCTTGACTACAAGTGAACCCTTAATCTCTGACGACTGAAAGAAATCGAGCTCCTTCTCATCTACCGTGGGAAACAGCTTCCTCCAGTCAATAGCTACCTAACCGAACATAACCCAGTAAAACGCACAAAAGGATAGAACCAACAAGAACAAAGAAAAAAATGAATCAAGAAGAAAAAATTGGCCTCGTCGTCAATCGCCATTAGACCACCTAATGTGCACCAAGAGAGAAGAATTAACGTGCGCCACTGAATTTGAATATAACTAAAATCATAAACGAATTATTACTCAAAATTTAAAACATATCAAAGTCAAAGAGCTTTCAATTTTAAAGTTAGAACGGGACGGTCAAAATACTGACCCACCCACACCGTGCCCAACATGTATATAGCAAGTAGCCAGAATCATATGTATGTGATTTTCCATTAGAACGAGAGAAAGATTCGATGCCAGAAAGTTAACCATCCATGCCATGCTTCAAAACGTGTGTATATAATATTAACTAAGTTGTTTCGATTATGAATTGACACTAATACTTTAAGAAATATCTGATGAGTTGCTGGCTACCTCTTTGAACATGAAAACGCTGTCGGTATGTTCTTCATGCTGGAAATGTCGAACCTCTCAATGAACCGCTGGTCAGACACCCTTGCTTTTGCAGCGGTAAAACGCTGGTACTCGTCAAAAAACGAAGACAGGCACCATCTCTGCAATTTTCTTAAGCTTCCCACGACACAACCAGTACGCTGCTGCATTATATATTTGAGCCAAATAATTTGGGTTCAAAAACATATTACACAGGCGGAAAAGCATAGAATGAAAATGTTACCTTTCCTCGTTTACAATGGATTAGCACCGGACGGTTCTTTACATATGGTATGGAAACATACAACACCAAATATAAGAAGATGATAAAGAAGAAAACTATAGGCTACAAGTAAAAATTACAATTAAATACCGAGGACGACATTCAATGCTTCCCGGATTGTTTCCTCCGGAATGTTTACAAAAGGTTCCTGTACAGAGTATCCATTATTAATTTCAAGGCATATGGCTCAACATATTTGGCCTAAATCACATCAGAAGAAGTATCGGTGAATATTCAGTCGAGTCGAGCGAAAAAAATTCAAGTTAGCTGAGTTTGCAAGAACCACCTTTATCATTCAAGTTATATTTGATTTTTTTCGGGTCGGTCGAGTTAAATAGATTAATTTGGATTTTTATTAAAATTCAAATAAATTATTTATAATATTATGGTATTGATCGGCTTCAATTTAAACTAAGACAATATTGATAGGAATATAAATGAGTTAAGGAATTGATGAGAAGTAGGAATTTACAAAGAGTTGTATTAAGAGGACTAAATAGAAAAAATATAAAGCTGATAGACCAAACTACAAAAAAAAAGAATTTTGTTGTCAAAAAGTGAATTGGCAGTTACATTGGTATCTAAGAGTGTTGAGGAGTGTTGAGGATCATATGGTTGATTTTTGTAAAAAAAAAATAGATCTAAAACCAAGTAGGAATTGAATAAATAAAAAATTTATAAATTAAAGATTTATATAACAAATAAGTATCTAAAATATATCATCTTTTTCATTTAAGTATCTAAAGTATTTTTTGGTCAAAATAAATATCTAAAGTATTTTTTGATCAAAATATATACATAAAATATTCAATTGTGTTTCATCTAAGTACGTATTCTTTAATTAATGTTACATGTTAACTTTTTTAGAAAAAAATTTGAATAGTTTAGGTACCTATTTTGACATAAAATACTTTCAGTACTTATTTCAACCAAAAACATACGTTTAGATATTTATTTTTAACAAAAAATACTTTATTAAATGAAAAATATGATATACATTATGTACTTGTTTGTGAAATAAGCCAAAATTAAATCAAAAATCAATCAAATTACTTAACAAAAAACTAAATAAATTGTACTAATTTTCGTTTTTTCAATTATTCGACCATCGCAAATTCAAGCTAGACGTTTTAGTTCAACACTCACAAGAAAGTGTAAGCAATCCACGGCCTGAATAAGAGCATTATATCCACAATTCTACTTTTTAGTTCAATCAATTGGTAAACCGTAAATTTCACAACTAAGAAGAAACAAGACTAGTAACAGCTCGAGCTAGGGTGATGATGCAAAGAAGGATGCTTCTTAGCTATCAATTTTAAATTCCCAAAGGATTCTATAATCTTATATTACGGTAAAGAACACAGTTCAGGGATCACAAATTCCATGGATATGGAGAAAATAGGACAGAATTATCAAAAATTAACATTTTGATTTTAGCTTAGGAAGAACCATTTTCGATGTCAATTGAGATATAATCATGGCAATCAATACCTTGAATCCATCGATACCGAATTGGAAAAGCTTGATTCCATTAGCCTTTAAAAACTTGTTGCTGGCTTCCGGATATGTAACACCCTCAGACCGATGCGGATATCCCGATCCGATCTGGAGTGTCACATTAGGGTCACCGTAGCGACCCATTGTAAAAATAGCAAAAAATTTAAAACTTTTATTAAAACATGTAACTCATAATTGCTTTATCATCATTCAGAAATAAAACATATTTTCAGACTCGTATATAAAACAAAATACAATCTACATGCCCCCTAATCACATGTATCATACTCTGAAAACAACGCCGGAAGAACTACCTTACTGATGTCGATAGCTGCACTGGTACAATTCTTTTAACCTGCAATGTTGAGTAATAGAGTGAGCTTCGGAAAGCTCAGTAATACAGAACTACCAGATGATGCTACATGACATGTAGATAAATGGAAAGCCATATAATTTTCCTTATTGAATCATACGTATACCAGTTTGCAAAATAATTTGGGGTTCCCTTAGAAGTTCATCGAGTAGAAGCCATGAATCTCAGTTCATAAGAAACCTTTCAAAGTATGACATTTTCAAGAGATCGAATAGGATGTCTAGTGTGTTCCAACAGTATAATAAAATCATAATAGGTACACTTATCAAATGATAGTTCAGTAAATCTCATAAAATCATAATGAAATTTAACTTTTGAAAATCATAGTTTAAACTCTTTTCTTGTACACCATCAGTAATTTCCAAAACTATTTTTCATATAGCTTACTCTAAGCACACAGCAAAAAGAAAGTCAACCCAAGGATAAGCTTTATAGCTTGTATCCTTAAGCCCGTAAGTCCAAGTCCATATAGCTTACCCTAAGCACACAGCAAGGGAAGCCAACCTAATGTATCTTGGGGCCCCAAGAGTCACATTAGGCCCATTCTGTTTATTAGCTTGATCAGAGCTATACTATTGTAATTCAATCCAAAAGTTCAATTGCACCGTGATACAAATTCCATAAATCATCACATTAAATTGGTGCATCAATAAAACAGTAACCAAAGAACTCAGTGTACCTCATATTAAAACCAATAAAATAGTTCAGTAATAATTAGGGAACACACTAGAGAATCCAAGTATTTTCAGAGGCCATTGTAGTTATCATTTTGGATAACATGAAACTTATGAAATTTGATCAAATTCCAGGAACAAGGTCCTATTGAGGAGAATCGATTACTAACCGATCTAGCCAGACATTTAAGGTTGATACATTAGAATCCCACTATATTTTCGTGTGCATTAGGAAAATGTTCAGGAACCTTTATACATAATAATTCTAAATTCAGATTTACTGCGAGTGATTCCATTACCCAACAATCAGGGGTATTCAGAAATATACTTTGAATTCATAGGATTTCATCCCAATTGAACCAAATGAGATATTCATAATCTTTTCCTTCTGCGTTACTTGTTTTTTTTTCAAACATGACCGAAGTGATTTTAGATGAAATATAGAATCGAAGATTCAAGTCATTTACAATCTACGACTATCGATCATATTATCAAACAACTCGAGTTACATAACTCTCAAACTGATGCATGTCAACAAGTCAATTCATTATCCTTCCAGTGTATTCACTCTTTAATACCATAATGCAGATCCATAGATCATCCCCATAATCATCACTGAATAAATCTTCCAACGGTCTTTATTTCATTTCCACGTTTCAACAATATCCGGAAATACTGACGTACTTGATCCATGGCTCATAACCCATAATGACAATTCATCATGTAAGTTCAATAGTGTTTCCAAACTCATCAAATCACCTATTTAATCCTTAGTCATTGATGTTACTTAGTTCGTTTGGTAAGCAAGTCTATCCCGATTACTTTAAAGTTTTCCAGAATAACGTTTCTGAATTTCAAATACCCGTTGTACTTCATTTCATTTCAATTTATTCATATAATAAAGTCATTCTGGTATTCGTGGTTGATTTGACTAACGAATACCCACTTATTAGTACTGTATGCGCTCTAGAGTTGAGCTGAGCCAAGTACTTCCAGAATTATCATCGATCCAAATTTGAGAAGATGAACAAACATTCAAGTGATACTTATATCATTCAGGTAATGATATAGTACTAACGTTGGTTGATCACTTAAGTTGCGTTCCACAACTTTTACTGGTAGCACAACATCAATGTTTATTTGGATTTCTTAATTAATCCAAGACATTTACTTATTCTAGGTCATAAGGGCATTTTGGTCATTTTGGTGCTCAACATTTTTCTATTCATTTCAAAGCTTTAGTATATCCATTCATTCCTGAGCTTGGTGACATTCTTGAGTCATTTTCATTCCAGGGGTAATTTGGTCATTTTATAATTCTAGAATATTTCAATCATTTCCTTCCATCCGGTCTTATTATTTAATTCAATCTTATCATTTACTTCAGTCCTTTCGAACAATTCTGTCAGCAAAATACCTCCGATAAATTACTCTTCAAGTATTTACTCCTTATTCGAATATTTTCGGGTCAAGTGTCTTCTCAGATTTTACAAACGGAATATTATAAATTTTTCTGTACAAAGACAGGATCTTAACAATTAAATTCGTACTTAATCGAGTTAAGTACAAATCCTCAAAGTACTTTCTCATTCAGGGTTAATTCAGACTATTTTATCTCTCAAGGGCATTTTCGTAATTTCTTAACTAGATAATTTCAATATTAGCTCTTAACGAAAATAATTATAATTTAGAGATCATATGATCAATTGCTTTCCCGAACATTCTCTTATCTTGAAATAATTCCTTAATAGAATTCTAATATCTTGCACAAACCCTCTTGGTTTTAAAAACCGGTTATTCACATTTCCTATATAAAACTAGCATTTCTTATGCACATAAGTAGTTTTATCAGATCAATATGTCTTTTCAGATTTACTAATCAACTTACAGGGACAATTCTTATCATTTTCCTACATAAGGGTAATTTCGTAATTTTACCATATCGGAGTATTCTCATAATTTTTTCATCCAAGTACCTTTAACATTTAACCCTTGATGATATAAAATATAAGTTACAAATCCAGAGCTGATTTCTTTATCACCAATCACAAACTTGTAATTTAATTCTAACAATTATCAATCTCTTATCTTAGTCATTCGATCCGTATTCAGTTGTAGAATTTCTACCACATTCATATCAAGTGTATAAATTATTCAACTCCACAAAAGTGATCAACATTATCTTATTCATGCATTTACCGATATCAACATGTTCCATAAAGCATAAAGAGGTAGTAAAGTATTACCTCGATTTTTCATGCCATTTAAATTCCATTCGAATGCCCTCGATCTTTGATTCAACTTCCAATAATTTCCTCTCGATCCAGACCATTAAAATTACTAACTCGTATCCAAATAATTTTCCTCGCCATAAAAATAGCTTATTAGAATTGAAATAATAATTTGGAAACCCAACTGATAAAATTGAAAACTAATTGTGCCATCAAAATATTTAATTACCCAATTTAGTGACTAAATTGATAGTATAGAAATTATCATGTCATAACTATAACCACTTGAAAACTAAGAGACAAGGTAAAAATCTTACCAAACTTGGATGGCACACATTGAAATTTTCTCATTCTCATTTTGTTAAAAACCTCCAAAACCACGTGCCCTGTACCAAATCTTTATTTCCTCGTTTATTTTATTTCTTTTAAATTCTCCCCAACCGAAAGCTCTGTAGGAAGACGACGAAGCTTCATCGACCATTACTCAAAACGCCGATGACCACCGTGTCGACCGTCATCGATGGTTGCCAACCAAAACCTAAGTTACACCGTTCGAAGTGCCTTGGTCTCCTCTCCATGAATATGTCTTCTGTTCGTCGAGAATATTTATAAATAAATACAGATCTACCAAAAATGTTTCAGATCCGAGGCTCTCCATGTTCCCTTCCAGTTCGCTTGTCTCCATTTGAATTTGAAGCAGAAACCATGGCTGCCTCGCATGCCATCTAATTTACTTTGGACCCCTTGACCGGTTCTGAATTAAGGAAGCTCCAAGGGGGCGGCAGACTTAGCTACGACAGATTGACGTTGGCTAGAGACCCTCTATAGCTTCCCTTTTTTATGCCTCGTTTGTGATATAGGATTAACCTATTTATTCTTTCACTGTCGGTGTTGTGCTATCTTCATTTCCAGCGGTAGTCGTAACATTCATAAATGGTTCTTTATCATCGGTGTAATGCTTGAACAACAATTTCTGGTTCTGCTGGTGTTGCTTTTACCTCTGTTGAGTTCCGAAGATGATGAAAAAAAAGTAGCAGCAGCGACAGCAGCATGTTCAGGCAAATCAAGAAATTTTTGAAGCTGGTCTAAAGTCCATGAAACATCCATATTTCCCTATATGTGATTAAGCGAAGCTGTGGACTGCGGATAAAAAAAAAGAATCGACTGGTGGCAAAGATGCTAGACCCCTTGATGACTGAGAAGTGAATGTGGGATTTTGAGAACATTGAATATGTGCTAGAGCCGAGAGATGCACATCACCAGTGGCTATGGAAGGGGATGAAGACGAACTCCAAAGGGTTCCCTTCTAGGGAGCCAATGAAGATTCTTCAAGTGATACTGTGTTTTTCATCACCTCCCTTCCCGAGGAAACTTGGAAATGGGTTGAAATCTCCTTTATAAAAAAATCCAAAATATCTTTAAAGTATGTGGTTCTCAATTTTTCATATTATAAAAATAATAATAATTGCAGTAGTTGAACAACTCTTTTCACTTGTGGTTATTCATTTTTCATATTTTAAACTTAAGAATTCTAACCCCATATTGGGGTGTGACAATTCTCTCATCCTTAAAAGGATTTCGTCCTCGAAATTCATTCATGTCACATAATTGCAGTAATGAAATTTCAATCAATTCTATCATATCTTCTAGTAGCTTTTACAAAAGTATTGGTCATCTATTAATCTTTAACTTGATGATTATACATTTTCTTCAGAACTCTCCCTGATTCCAATAAAATAACCATAACAAATTTATCATTGTGGAATAATTCAGCCTTGGTTACGAGAATAAGCTCATAGAGCGATAACATATCTCAATTTCATTTCTGAAGTTCGATCGAAATTTCTCAGATGAATAACTCTCACATGGCTCATGAGGTACTTTATAGGGTTTAGACATATGTTGATGGTATTCTTTTTTTGTACAAGTATAGCTTTAACAGATAGAAACTTCGGTTTACTCATTACAGATAGAAACTCAGCCTTAGAATTCTAGCTCAGAGAAGTACGACTGTAGTCTAAGGGCATGTACTGATTAGACATATTTTGACATTCGATCGGGCGGTCTAACTTGAAAATGTTGACTCAAACCTGGCTCTGATACCACTAAATGTAACCCCCTCAGACCGATGCAGATATCCCGATCCGATCTGGAGTGTCACATTAGGGTCACCGTAGTGACCCATTGTAAAAATAGCAAAACATTTAAAACTTTTATTAAAACATGTAACTCATAATTGCTTTATCAGCATTCAGAAATAAAACATATTTTCAGACTCGTATATAAAACAAAATACAATCTACATGCCCCCTAATCACATGTATCATACTCTGAAAACAAACGCCGGAAGAACTACCTTATTGATGTCGATAGCTGTACTGGTACAATTCTTTTAACCTGCAATGTTGAGTAATAGAGTGAGCTTCGGAAAGCTCAGTAATACAGAACTACCAGATGATGCTACATGACATGTAGATAAATGGAAAGCCATATAATTTTCCTTATTGAATCATACGTATACCAGTTTGTAGAAAAATTTGGGGTTCCCTTAGAAGTTCATCGAGTAGAAGCCATAAATCTCAGTTCATAAGAAACCTTTCAAAGTATGACATTTTCAGGAGATCGAATAGGATGTCTAGTGTGTTCCAACAGTATAATAAAATCATAATAGGTACACTTATCAAATGATAGTTTAGTAAATCTCATAAAATCATAATGAAATTTAACTTTTGAAAATCATAGTTTAAACTCTTTTCTTGTACACCATCAGTAATTTCCAAAACTATTTTCCATATAGCTTACTCAGAGCACATAGCAAAAAGAAAGCCAACCTAAGGATAAGCTTTATAGCTTGTATCCTTAAGCCCGTAAGTCCAAGTCCATATAATAGAGTGAGCTTCGGAAAGCTCAGTAATACAGAACTACCTGATGATGCTAAAGGACATGCAGATAAATGGTAAGTCATAATTTTCTTATTGAATCAGACATATACAAATTTTCAGAATAATCTGAGGTTCCACTGGTAGTTCATCGAATAGAATCCATGAATATCTCAGATCATAGGAAGCATTCATAGTATCACGTTTTTAGGATATCGAATAGGATGTCTAGTGTGTTCCAATAATACAATAAAATCATAATAGTTACAATAAACAAATCATAGTCCAGTAAATCTCATAAATTCATAAAAGAGTTTAACTTTTGAAAATCATAGTTTAAACTCTTTAATACCATAATGCAGATCCATAGATCATCCCCATAATCATCACTGAATAAATCTTCCAACGGTCTTTATTTCATTTTCACGTTTCAACAATATCAGGAAATACTGACGTACTTGATCCATGGCTCATAACCCATAATGGCAATTCATCATGTAAGTTCAAAAGTGTTTTCAAACTCATCAAATCACCTATTTAATCCTTAGTCATTGATGTTACTTAGTTCGTTTGGTAAGCAAGTCTATCTCGATTACTTTAAAGTTTTCCAGAATAATTCAGACGTTTCTGAATTTCAAATACCTGTTGTACTTCATTTCATTTCAATTTATTCATATAATAAAGTCATTCTGGTATTCGTGGTTGATTTGACTAACGAATACCCACTTATTAGTACTGTATGCGCTCTAGAGTTGAGCTGAGCCAAGTACTTCCAGAATTATCATCGATCCAAATTTGAGAAGATGAACAAACATTCAAGTGATACTTATATCATTCAGGTAATGATATAGTACTAACGTTGGTTGATCACTTAAGTTGCGTTCCACAACTTTTACTGGTAACACAACATCCATGTTTTTTTGGATTTCTTAATTAATCCAAGACATTTACTTATTCTAGGTCATAAGGGCATTTTGGTCATTTTGGTGCTCAACATTTTTCTATTCATTTCAAAGCTTTAGTATATCCATTCATTCCTGAGCTTGGTGACATTCTTGAGTCATTTCTATTCCAGGGGTAATTTGGTCATTTTATAATTCTAGAATATTTCAATCATTTCCTTTCATCCGGTCTTATTATTTAATTCAATCTTATCATTTACTTCTGTCCTTTCGAACAATTCTGTCAGCAGAATACCTTCGATAAATTACTCTTCAAGTATTTACTCTTTATTCGAATATTTTCGGGTCAAGTGTCTTCTCAGATTTTACAAACTGAATATTATAAATTTTTCTGTACAAATACAGGATCTTAACAATTAAATTCGTACTTAATCAAGTTAAGTACAAATCCTCAAAGTACTTTCTCATTCAGGGTCAATTCAGACTATTTTATCTCTCAATGGCATTTTCATAATTTCTTAACCAGATAATTTCAATATTAGCTCTTAACGAAAATAATTATAATTTAGAGATCCTATGATCAATTGCTTTTCCGAACATTCTCTTATCTTGAAATAATTCCTTAATAGAATTCTAATATCTTGCACAAACCCTCTTGGTTTTAAAAACCGGTTATTCACATTTTCTATACAAAACTAGCATTTCTTATGCACATAAGTAGTTTTATCAGATTAATATGTCTTTTCAGATTTACTAATCAACTTCCAGGGACAATTCTTATCATTTTCCAACATAAGGGTAATTTCGTAATTTTACCATATCGGAGTATTCTCATAATTTTTTCATCCAAGTACCTTTAACATTTAACCCTTGATGATATAAAATATAAACTACAAATCCAGAGCTGATTTCTTTATCACCAATCACAAACTTGTAATTTAATTCTAACAATTATCAATATCTTATCTTAGTCATTCGATCCGTATTTAGTTGTAGAATTTCTACCACATTCATATCAAGTGTATAAATTATTCAACTCCACAAAAGTGATCAACATTATCTTATTCATGCATTTACCGATATCAACATGTTCCATAAAGCATAAAGAGGTAGTAAAGTATTACCTCGATTTTTCATGCCATACTGGTCGACCATTTAAATTCCATTCGAATGCCCTCGATCTTTGATTCAACTTCCAATAATTTCCTCTCGATCCAGACCATCAAAATTATTAACTCGTATCCAAATAATTTTTCTCGCCATAAAAAATAGCTTATTAGAATTGAAATAATAATTTGAAAACCCAACTGATAAAATTGAAAACTAATTGTGCCATCAAAATATTTAATTACCCAATTTAGTGATTAAATTGATAGTATAGAAACTATCATGTCATAACTATAACCACTTGAAAACTAAGAGACAAGGTAAAAATCTTACCAAACTTGGATGGCTCACCTTGAAATTTTCTCATTCTCATTTTGTTAAAAACCTCCAAAACCACGTGCCCTGTACCAAATCTTTATTTCCTCGTTTATTTTATTTCTTTTAAATTCTCCCCAACCGAAAGCTCTGTAGGAAGACGACGAAGCTTCATCGACCATTACTCAAAACGCCGATGACCACCGTGTTGACCGTCATCGATGGTTGCCAACCAAAACCTAAGTTACACCGTTCGAAGTGCCTTGGTCTCCTCTCCATGAATATATCATCTGTTCGTCGAGAATATTTATAAATAAATGCAGATCTACCAAAAATGTTTCAGATCCGAGGCTCTCCATGTTCCCTTCCGGTTCGCTTGTCTCCATTTGAATTTGAAGCAGAAACCATGGCTGCCTTGCATGCCATCTAATTTACTTTGGACCCTTTGACCGGTTCTGAATTAAGGAAGCTCCAAGGGGGCGGCAGACTTAGCTACGACAGATTGACGTTGGCTAGAGACCCTCTATAGCTTCCCTTTCTGATGCCTCGTTTGTGATATAGGATTAACCTATTTATTCTTTCACTGTCGGTGTTGTGCTATCTTCATTTCCAGCGGTAGTCGTAACATTCATAAATGGTTCTTTGTAATCGGTGTAATGCTGGAACAACAATTTTTGGTTCTGCTGGTGTTGCTTTTACCTCTGTTGAGTTCCGAAGATGATGAAAAAAAAAGTAGCAGCAGCGACAGCAGCATGTTCAGGCAAATCAAGAAATTTTTGAACTCAGGGCAAAGATTTCTAGACGGAAAAAGCGAGCATAAAAATGTAATTTAAATTTTATAATTAATGAAATTTACGTTGTCGATAGCCATAGCCACGCAAATCGGCAAGTTTGAGTGACTCACGTAATAGAACGGTGCCCTAGAGCTTGCAAGAACCTGAAATTATCGGAATCAGGGAAACCAGACCTAAAAACTCCATTATCAACCATGGCGAAATTCAGAGGTATGAACAGCTCCTCTCCGTCGATCTTGCTATCTTCAACGGTGACAGGAAAATTAGGCGGCAGCGAGTGACCGTCAACCGCCTCGCAAGTCTTTTCCTCAAATCCTTCCACTTTTTCGCGACAATTTTTTTTTTAAAAAAAAAAGGGGTAAACCGGGGGGATGAAATCTCGATGGATCTTTTGGGGAGAGAAGATGGAAGAATTTTTCAAGAGTGAATCTACAGGAAAGAACTTTGATTCATGAATCTTTGGGGTTTTTTTTTTCTCTTGAATTACGAGGTAATAATATAATGAATAAGAGGGATCCAAACGGATGGGACGATTAGTCACACTACTCAAGTGCCCTTATTCCTTTTCGTTTTAAACTTAATTATAACGGCTGAATTTTCCCGATAATGCAGTGGAAATTTTTATTTCCCAAAATAATGTATTGCAATAATTATTTCATGAAATGAGGTGAATGTTAGGAGACCATGGCTAAAACGCCATGTGTTCCCAGCGTCCAAAACCGGAGATGTCATGTGGCGTCATGGGGTTCCATGGGGAGCAATGCGTCTCCCCCTAGTACTCTGCATCCATATTTCACGTGAAAGCTAGAGCGCCTCTGGGATCAATGTATGCAAACCCAATTTCACATGAAAGCTGAAGAATGGTGTCAATTTTGTATGACTAAAGCTGCATATGGCAACAATAATTTTGCTTGTTTAAAGCTGCATATGGCAACAATAATTTTGCTTGTTTGAAGCTGCATATGGTAGTAATAAATGGCACCAAACAAAATAATTTTGTGTTGGTGGAATCGGGGGATGATTTCAAGTTTATATATATGTGATAGTTGGGAGAATTTAAACACACACTCTGAAGAGAACAAGGAAGAAGGAACAAGGAAGAAGGAACAAGGAACAAGGAACAAGGAACAAGGAACAAGGAACAAGGAACAAGGAACAAGGAACAAGGAACAAGGAACAAGGAAGAAGGAAGAAGGAAGAAGGAAGAAGGAAGAAGGAAGAAGGAAGAAAAAAGAAGAAAAAGGTAAATTTTATATTTCGATTGATTTTTTAAATTAATTAGTTAGTTTATATTACTTTTAGATTAAATTATTTTTGTTTAAATTAATATAATGTTTAGATTAAAAAGTTATTATTTTATTAAAGATTCGGATAAATGGTAGAAGAAAATAAACTGTTTTTCTGGATGTTCATCATATTTCTAGCACTTTGGGAGTGTAAACACGTCATTTCGTCCCACTTTGTGTTATGTGATTTATATCATATACACATTATATATTACATATTTATAATATATATACATTGTATAGTTATATATTATATTTATGTTTCTATTATATAGTATGGAGCATATATTTATTTTTATTATATGTTTTGTACCAGGTCCAATATTATAATGTTAGGCCCAAAGCCATTACAAAGTTGCCAACCCATTACACACCAAACCCAACAAGCGGTCCAACCCGACAGTAGCTCCGACCCGAGACCCGATTCAGACCCGAACCGGTCCAAGTTGTAACCTGAATTCAGCTAGGGTTTTAAAACCCTAATTTTCCACCCTCTTCAGTGTTGCACGGTCCATTTGCCAAGGGGAACCGCTGGTCAAGAGTCCATCCCCAAGTTTTCCGACTTCATGATTTCGTGGGGCACCAAAAAACAACAAACAAGCAGTCTTTTAGTCCGAGTAAAACTCTAAGAAAATCCAAACTAAAACTAGCAACCCTAGAGATTATAAATACACGTAAAGGACACGAGAAATCATACAAGGAAAAATTTAGAAAAATACTAGAGAAAATACAAGAAAGCCGAGCATTTGTAAAAGATTCGAAGTGAAATCAAAGGGTAAAATTTCTCACTTTTTTTTATTTTTGTGTTTGCATGTGGGTTGTCATTTTTTCTCTTCGTATTTGACTCGAAAAAAACCAAAAATAGTTAATCAACCGATGACAGGGGAGTGCTTTTCGAGATCTTTCTCCTCAGATCTAGCTCTCCCCGAGGCTTGTTTTTGAAAACCAACGAGACTTTTGAAACAAGGATACAAAGATCTATTGAAATGTTTAAAAAAAATTTGTCGCCGATCAACGACGGCCAGCAAGGCGCCGATCGACCCGTGACCCGATCTGACCTCCCTAAGATCCGCGTATTTTCGATTAAAAGGGGTTAATCTCAATTATGGTCCCTCTTTTTCTTTTTAAAGTTTATTTTGCCCCTAAACTGAATTTTAAGCTCGGCTTTCCTTTTAAATTGACCACCTAATTTGTTTTTCTTTTGATTTGGTCCTTTTCTGAATTTAATTCACGATTTAATTATTTTTATTTATTTTTTTATTTTCTATTTTCTATTTTTTGGTTTTTTGTTTCTTTTATTTTATTCTATTTAATTCCATTATTTTATTTATTTTTATTTTTATTTTCCTTGTTTTATTTTTATTTTATGTTTATTTATTTTTTTATTTTTTTACTTTATTTTACTTTATTTATTTTATTGCTTTTTTTTGGAAATTAGTCTTTTATTATTTTATTATTTTTTTTATTTTATCTATTTTTTAAGGTTTATGTTTTTTATTTTATATATATATATATATATATATATATATGGATTGTTAGTTTACTTCAGAATGATTAAGCGTTGAATGATTCAAATGCTAAATGATTCAGAGGCTCTGTATGAATTAGCTCTGAATGTGACATGATGTTTGATAATGACTCTGAATTATTCAGAATGTACTTCTGTGCTGAATCATTCAGCATTGTTTGCTGAATCAGTCAGCACTGAATCATTCAGATGTGCGAAACAAACGCGAATGGTTTCATTAAGAGGCAAACAAACAGCCCTTTAGACTTTTTTTCTTCCATTACATTTTTTATGTGTTGTGTGTTTTAATACGAGCACTTTGTTCTTATTTATGTTAATTCCTTGGCATGTGTTTTTTTAAAAGCACCCTAATTTAACCTTCATTTTTTTCTTTTAATTATGCATTTTGCTTTATCTGACACTTTTCTTGACTTTTTAAGGGTACGCTTGTAAATCCATTAAAGGTAATAATTTGGATCAAACTTTACCTTTTAGTTTAACTTACAATTCTCTAAATTAAGACAACTGAAAATTAATTAGTACCGAAAGGGCAGTTCAATGGTGCTAACCCTTCTTTGATTGTAACCGACTCCCGAATCCGACATATCTTTGGTAAGATGCAGATCAGGTAAGAAATCAAGGTATCCGATCAACCCATTTATTCTTAAAATAAATGATGGCGACTCTAACACTTTTATTTCAAGTTGAAGCCCAATTTCGGGCCCACCCGAAAGACGACGACGACAGCTTGGCAACTCTACTAGGGACAGTTAAGTGACTCAGGCTAAGGTTAATTTCCAGTTGTCTTCTTAAGTGAAAAGATTAAGTTTAAATTTTAAGGTAACTTTTTCGATCCTTATTACAAACTTTTGATTATCTTTTCAAATAAATAGTTGTACTGGCAATTTCTTTCAATGGTTTTAGCTTATCAAATTGTTTTCACCTAAGGCTCTATACCCGAGCTCTAAACCCTTTTAAGTGGGGGTAAAAGTGACGCCTTCGTGAGAATTTATTCTCCACATAGGCCTAGCAAGTAGCCTTTGGGATTCATATACCTTATGCCTTCGTGTGAATTTATTCACCGCATAGACATAAGGGAATGTATCCTCTCGAGTTTAACTTAGTCCACACAAGCTTGTAATGGGCTCAGGACTAAGGTCTAGCAAGCCCAAGGGGGCACCAACAAGGAGAACTCGGGTACCTTCTTTAGAACCTAAACCGGGAAACTGTAGGGAATTAGAGCCTACCCTAAAACCCCATTTCAAAACCTAGGATATTTTTTACTCATGCAGTTTGTCAATTATATTTTTTCTTTCATCATTTATATTTTTATCATACTAACGTTTTTCCTTTCATGTTTTTCTTTTTAGCATTTGTATCATAAAAAGAGGTCATTGATCCATAAAAAGTTGTTAGTTACACACAAATAATCTACATTAATGGACAAAGGGGTTGTAATGCCAGAGGTAAAAAATATCGAGGTACGACTATGGTCCGAAAAGACTCAGAAAGAGAAATGAGACAGTTTGTAAGGGAGCTATGTGCCAGAACTGGTTAGCCATGCTTCTGTCATCCTAAAGAAAAATGATGTTCAATAGCTACGGAGAATTTGGGATAACTGGAAGAGTGACCAAAAGCAGAAGTTCAGCCAGCGGTATGGTGATATCGCTCTCTTTCTCTATGTCAAAACGGATGAGACCCTAATTACAACCTTGGTACAATTCTAGAACCCGGGGTACAGCTGTTTCACCTTTAACCAAGAGGACATGGTGCCCACAATCGAAGAGTATACTACATTTCTATATTGTGAGGGAATCATAATAGAGCAGGTCTACATCAAGCACATCAAAAGTCAGCCTTTCAAGAACGGACTGGAAAAGGTTGCGGTGGTATATGAAAAATGGATAACTGACAGGGCTCTACACAAAAGTAGTAGGGAAGGAATTGCTTGGATCAATATCAAGTAACTAATGAAGAATTATCCCGATGAATGGAAGGCAATATATCTTTTTGCGCTAGGTCTTTATGGTTTGGTTATATTCCCAAGGACTTTGGGGTAAATTGATGCAGCTGAGGTGGAACTATTTGAACAAATCCCGAGGTGAGTAAATCCAGCACTGGTAATTTTAGCTGAGACCTTTTGCTCTCTCAACCACTACAGAAAGACCGGCGGAGGAAGATTCATAGGGTGTGCTCAGCTTCTCCAAGTTTGGATCCACAATCATTTCTTGAAGACTAACGGGATTACTTACCACCGATTCAACACCACTTATTCACATTTGGGGGAATTTCTTACTCCAAAATGGCACGAATATACCTCAAAAGAAAAGTGGATGAAGGTATTCATACATCTTCAGGATAGGGATATTGCCTGGATAGCTCTTTGGTTGACCCATAGTGACATTCGTTTTCGATGTGGGGATTCGGGCACTATAACATTACTTGGATTACGGGGAAGAGTTGGATATTCTCTACTTTTGGCACTGCGACAGTATGGGGCACACCAGTGTGTCCCAGCAACATACGGAATAT